GAAAAAATTATTTAAAGAGCCGGAAACTCTTCGGGGTCCAGCAGTTTGCCCTTGCACGTCGGGCAGATGCTATTCACTTGCAGCCAATTCGCGGCACACTGAAAAAAAGGCAATTTTTTTTCAAATTTTTTGAATTTCCGCCAAAATTACCTTCCAATGAAATCGGCGCCGGCACTCCTGGCACTTTATCATTTTATCCGTGGAGCGAACTTGCGACAAACAAATCACACAATCCGGGTCGCAAATTTCGAGATGATTCGAGCCGAAACCCGCGGGGAACACAAAAATCGGTGGCGATGAGATCGTTGATGACGTGGATGGCGTCGACGTGGAATTCTGATGGTTGGGGGCGGCGTTTCGAGCTCTTTCCGCGCCAATTGGGCGGAGTTTTGGGGCCGCTAAGGGGGCTTGTTGGAAATTAATTGAATGGTGTTGTTGGGGAATAGGCTCCGCCCTATTTTGAGTAGGCTCCGCCCCTTTTCCTATAATCCGCGAAATTTCTCGAAACTTCTGACGATCGCGCTCGAGTTCCGTATTCAAATTTACATTTGTCTCGTGGATTCTGAAATTCAAAATTTTTTTGAAAATCTGTGTATCCGAATGTCCAGATGTCGCTTACATCTGAATATATCTCGTTTTTTCGAGCAGATTCTCTTTCAAAGTGTGAATTTCCGAAGTGGCATCTCGTTCTTCGGCGATTCGCAGCTGACGACGTAGGTGGGATACTGTAGTCTCCAGCTCCGAGATTCGCATTTTTTCGCTGAAAAAAGCGTTTTTTTTTCACTAACAAAAGATTTTCAGAGGCGGCCTAGAAAACCCAAAATTTGGAGTTCGAGGCCATATCTCGTTGGCGGCCTAGAAATCATAATTTTTGGAATCCTAGGCTATTATTATTTGGTGGCCTAGAAAACTTGAAATTCGAATTTCTAGGCCACTACGCTCCGGTGGCCTAGGAACCCCAAATTTTTGAATCCTAGGTCATCACGATTTGGTGGCCTAGATATCTCAAAAATATGGATTCTAGGTCATGTTTGTTTGATGGCATAGTAAATTCGAAAATCGGGGTTCTAGGCCACCAAGAAGGCTATGGACTAGAAATCCAAGAATTTGAAATTCTAGACCAGATCAGTTGATGGCCTAGAAAACTCAAAATTTCGGTTTCTAGGCCACCGGAAAGGTTACGGCCTAGAAATCCTAAATTTTGGGATCCTAGGCCATTACAATTCGGTGGCCTATGAATCTCAAAATCTGAGAATCTTAGTCAATAGAGTTTGGCGGCCTAGAAAACCAAAATTTCGAGGTTCTAGGTTATTTTTTCTTGGTGGCCTAGAAAGCCTAAATTTGGAGTTCTAGGCCATATTTTCTTAGTGGCCTAGAAAGCTTAATAATTGGGATTTTCGGCCATATTTGCGTGGTGGCCTAGAAAACTCTAAATTTCGGATCCTAGGCCACTACGAATTGGTGGCCTAGAAATATTCATTTTTGGAATTCTAGGCCATCCAGGTTTGATGACCTAGAAATCTGAAAACTTGGAATTCTATGCCATTAGAAATCAGTGGTCTAGAAAAAGCAAAAAATGGAGTTCTAGGCCACCGAGAAGGTTATGGCCTAGAAATCTGGGAATCAGGAGTTTTAGGCCAAGACATTTTGGCGGCCTAGAAAACCAAAAATTCGGGGTTCTAGGCGACTAAAATTTGGTGACCTAGGAAATTCAAAATTTGGGATTCTAGGCCATATCTGTCCGGTGGCCTAGAAAACTCGAAATTCGAAGTTCTAGGCCACTAAAATTTGGTGGCCTAGGAACCCCCAAAATTTGGAGTTCCTAGGCCATATTAGTTTGGCGGCCTAGGAACCTCAAAATTTGGAGTTCTAGGCCAACACATTTTGGCGGCCTAGGATTTCACGAAAATTGGGTTTCTAGGCCATTTTTTTATGGTGGCCGAACTTTTTCAACATGGCCTAGAAATCCAAAATCCCCACCTTCGGATGCTCCTTGTCGCCTCTGCAATACGTTCCGAGAATTTGGTGCGATCCTCGTTGAACGTGGTCTTCATTCTGAAAAAAAACAATGTCATGGCCTAGAAATCCAAAACGTTGGTTTTCTAAGCCACTGTGAAAAAACCCACTTCTCATAGGCCTCCGAAGTCTGATTTTCGCGAATTTTCGCCTCGGAAATGCCGATTTTCAGCCGTTGAATCTCGCCGTTCAAATTCGCGTTCGTGTGGAAAATATTCTTCAACGCCTCGTTTCGATCTTGCGACTTTTTCAGATCCTTCTCCAGGTGATCGATTTTCGTGTCGAGATTTTCGATTTTTCGAGTCAATTGGGCGATTTCACTGCAAAAATAGGGATTTTTTGGCCTAGAAAATGGAAAAATTGGGATTTCTAGGCCATGGCCTTGAATCCCAAAAATGTGGTTTCTAGGTCATCGAGTGAAAATGGCCTAGAAACCCATTATTTGGAGGACTAGGCCATGAAACTTCTGGTGGCCTAGAAACCGAAAGTTCTTGGATTTTTAGATCATCGAACAATATGGCCTAGGAATGAAAATTTCAGGTTTTCTAGGCAATAAAAGTTTTGGTGGGCTAAAAACTCAAATTTTGGGATTTCTAGGCCACTAAAAGTCATGACCTAGAAATCCAAAAACGAGGAAAACTAGGCCATTATGTTTAGTGGCCTAGAGATCTCAAAATCCGGATTTCCAGGCCATCACGACTTGGTGGCATAGAAATCCTCGAAACTGCAATTTTGTGCTTTGGGGTCAAACTGCTGTTGGTGGCCAAAAATTTTATTATTCTCGATTTCTAGGCTATCACGATTTCGTGGCCTCGAAATCTTGAAACTCGCGTTTCTTAGGCCACTGACAATTGATGGCCTAGAACCCCAAACTTGGATATTTCGAGGTCATGGCCTAGGCCTAGAAATCCCATTTTTTGAAAAACTAGGTCAACAAAATAGGTCACGACCTAGAATTTCAAATTTCCAGGATTTCTAGGCCATCGAACAAGATGACCTAGAAATCTTAAAATTTGCGTTTTCTAGGCCATTGAATATTGATGACCTAGGAGTTCTAAAATTTGAGTTTCTAGATCTTTAAACTATATGGCCTAGAAACCCAAAAGTTAGAATTTCTAGGCCATCCGTTTCTAGGGACCTAGTAATCCGAAAATTCGAGTAGCTCGGCCATGCCCTTTTTGGTGGCCTAGAAAACCAAAATTTTGAATTTCTAGGCCATGTAAGTTTTGATGACCTAGAAACCCTAAATTTAGATATTTCTAGACTACCAAAAATGATGGCCTAGAAACCTAATAGTTAGAATTCCTAGGCCATCATTTCTTTGTGACCTAGAAACCCGAAAATTCGAGTATCTAGGCCACCCAACTATATGGCCTAGAACCCCTGATTTAGAGGTTTCTAGGACATTGAAAATTATGGCCTAGAAATCGAAAATTGAAGATTTTTAGGCCATTTAACTTTTGATGGCCTAGAAACCCTAAATTAAAGGAGGCCTAGACCACCGAACAATATGGCCTAGAAACCCAAAATTGGAGGTTTCTAGGTCATTAAATTTGATGACCTAGGTTTCCTTTCTTTTGGATTTCTAGGCCACCAAGTTCTGGATGGCCTAGAAACCCAAATTTCAATGTTTCTAGGCCAGGAAAAAATCTCACCTCTTTTTCTCGTCCTTCAATCGATTTTCTCTAGTTTCCAACTCCAAAATTCGTGATCTCAACTGTGAATTCTCTCTCGCCAATCCCTGCGTTTCCAGAATTTTCTTCTTCAACTGCACATTTTTCTCTCGTGATCTATTCAAATCCCGCTCGAGCAGCTTGATTTTCGCGTCGGATCGTTTCGCGTCTTGTGACATTTCTCTGAAATTGAAATTCGTTGAAAATTGGAGAAAAATGGTGGCCTAGAAATTCAAAATTTCGTGTTTTAAGCCATTTCGACTTGATGGCCTAAAAATCCATATTTTCGGGGTTCTAGGCCATCAATTGAAAATGACTCAGAAAATATAAAATTAAGGTTGTTAGGCCATCAGTTATGAGTGGCCTAGACATCCATATTTTCGGGGTTCTAGGCCATCAATTGAAAGTGGCCTAGAAAGCTCAACGTTTCGAGTTTCTAGGCCATTTCAACTTGATGGCCTAGAAATCCAGATTTTCCGGTTTCTAGGCCACCATCATCCTTATCGGTTTTGAGGATTTTGGTGACCTAGGAAGCTCATATTTTCGGGTTTCTAGGCCGTATATGACTTGTGGCCTAGAAATCCATATTCCCAGGCCACCTAGTCCCTATTCTTACCGCTTAAACAGCTCAAAATCGTCCTCCTTCTCCTTCCAATTCAGTCCCAACTCCTCCATACTCTTCGTCACCTCGACGATGACCTTCTCCAGATTCGCCACGTCATCTCTCCCGATTTCCGCCCACACCTCATCTGTCTGCGTCTCGATTTCCGACGTCGTCGGTCTTGGACGATACGTTAGAAGAGGCGGAATGTCGTCGTCGTCGTCGTCATCGTCTTCTGAATCTGAATCATCTGGCGGCGCGCCAAGACATATATCTGATAGTGAATCGTACGTAATGTCTTCTTCCGGGTCTTCTGGAGCGTCTGGAAATCCCAGAACCTTCACAAAATCCACAGGAGCCACGTGGCAACGTCCGATTCGCGGGAATTCTTCAGATGACGTCACGACGTCTTCTGAATTCTGAGATTCTGAATTTCGGAATTCCGGACACGTGGCACAGGCAAGTCCCGGGATACGGTGGCAAGATTTTTGAGCGTGGAGGAAGGTTTTGAGCTGGAAGAAAATTTCGAATTTTGAAATTTTTAATTAAGCTCCGCCCACTACCGTACCTTTGGAAACAAGTTCAGAATACAAATCAATTGGCAGCTCTCCACGGCGTCAAACCAGATCCCTATCGTCTGTTCTTCACCAATTTGGGCTGAAATTTCCAGGAAAACGAAGTCAGAAACTTCCAGAATTTCCGGGAAAATTCCAGACAACTCCAGCTTCTGAAGCTCGGCCTTCAGATTGCTCAGCGTAAATTCCACGTTTTCAGAATCGTCGAGAAGGTCGCGATGCGTCGTTTTCTTGTGGAATGCGCACTTTTTCGAGTAGAAATTGGTCACTTCTCGAATTTTCGACAATTTGATGAGTGTTGGAATGTTCTGGAAGAGAAAATGCATTGATTTTGGTGGCCTAGGATTTCTGAAAATCTCGGTCATGACCGAGTTTTTATGCCATTACGTTTCTGGTGGCCTAGAAAACTCAAATTTTAGCTTTTTTAGGCCATTTCAACTTGATGGCCTAGAAAACCAAAAAACTCGGCCATGATCTAGAAATCCTAAAAAACTCGACCATGGCCTAGAAATCCTAAAAACTCGGCCATGACCTATAAACCCGAAAAACTAGGCCATGACCTAGAAAACCAAAAAACTCGGTCATGACCTAGGAGTCCAAAAAACTCGGCCATGGCCTAGAAAACCGGAAGAAACCGGCCATGATCTAGAAAACCAAAAAATTTGGCCGCGGCCTAGAAACCTAAATTTCATATTTTCTAGGCCATCTCACCTAACTTACTAAGAAACCCAAAATTTTGTAGGCCACTTTCACTTGATGGCCTAGAAACTCGGACTTTTGGATTTCTAGGCCGCCACAATCAAATGGCCTAGAAATCCAAAAATTGCAGTTTCTAGGTCATTTAAATATGATAGCCTAGAAATCCAAAAATTGAATTTCTAGGCCGTCATTCCTAGGTGGCCTAGAAACACAAATTAGGCCGCGAAAATTCGATTTTCCAGTTTTAAGCACCTGTGGCCTAGAAACCCAAAACTCTTCCACCAACCTTTTTCGACTCAAAAATCATGCTTAAATCGGCAAAAATCTCATAGAGCACTTTCTTCTTCGCCATCGGAAACTTCTGGAACAGTCTGGATCCCCAAATCAGTGATTTCAGCACTTCCAGCATCGCATCAACGGCCGAGATGAAAAACTGGGCGTGGCCACACGTGGCGGGCGGTCCCAGGATCGGAATGGCTCGATGGGCGGTCCGTCGGATCGGGAATCGAATAAAATCGATATTTGTAGTTTGTAGCCGGTACTTTTTCTCGGCGTCTTCTAGCGAAATTCCATAGAATTTGTCGGTGCAAACGGGCGGTGTCAGCAAATTCTTATTCTTCGATTTTGGCTTGATTTTTCGAATTTTCAGCGGATTTCGGATAAATTTCGAATTATCAATGTCTCGATTACTTTGCTGATAATCCGGGATTTTCAGCGCTTCCAACAGCTCATCTTTCAGCAAAAATCGCTCATTGCCATCCTCAAAAAGGCGGATTACGGTAGTTTCCGCGGGCAGCTCCGCCCACTTTTTAAGCGTCGCTTCCAGTTTTTTGAAGATACAAATCGTGTTTGTATAGACACAAATGACGAGATCGACGAAATTTTTCTCGAGAATCTTGTGATTTTCCAGCTCGTTTTTGATGTGCAGCGACTCTTCGGTGGTCCATGTCGTCGGGATTAATTTCAGAAATTTTCCGGCTAGCTCGTCGAAATTCTCAGAAAATTCGCCAAAATCTTTTCGCAACTTCTCCAGAACTTCTTGCTGAAAAATCGTGGATTTCAGCGCGCCCGTCTCGTCGATATAGGTGTTTTCAGTGGTTTGGAGGTCGCGTTGGAGCTGATGCAATTCCAGAATTTCGAATTTCAGAAATTCCATTTTTCCGTTGGCGACGTCTTCTTTGGATTTGAGAAATATCGAGATTAGGGTGGAGATCATTTGGTTGTTCTGGAAAAAAAATGGAAATGGTGGCCTAGAATTTTGAAAAGTTGAGCCATCAAACTTTCCGTGGCCTAGAAACTCAAAATTTGGCAAAGTTAGGCCACCGGAATTATTTGTCCAGAAATTGGAAACCCTGGAAATTAGATAACTCAAATTGATGGCCTAGAAATTCGAAAAGTTAGGCCAGCAAAGCCTGAATTTCAAAAAACTCAAATTTTTGAAAATCTAGGTCATCAAAGATTTCGTGGCCAGGAAGCTCAAACATTGAAAAAGCTAGGCCACCAATATGTCGGTGGCCTAGAAACCCAAAATTTGCAAAATCTAGGCCACCAGCTATTTCATGGCCTAACTTTCTGAAATCGTGGCCTAGAAATCTTAAAATCGAAAACCTAGTCCATCAAACTTTTCGTGGCCTAGAAAATCAAGAAATGAAAAAGTGAGGCCATCAATGCGTCGGTGGCCTTGAACCCCAAAATTCGAGAAATCTAGGCCACCAACGTTTCATGGCCTAACTTTCTGAAATCGATCACCAAGCTTTCTGAAATCGGTCAACAAATAGGTCACCAAGCTTTCTGTGGCCTAGAAATCTGGAATGCGAAAAATCTAGGCCACCATCTTTTTTGGCCTAGACAACTCAAAAATCGAAAACCTAGGCCATCCAACTTTTCGTGGCCTAGGAACCCAAAATTTGCAAAATCTAGGCCACCAACTTTTTCATGGCCTAGAAACTCGTAATTTGAAAAAGCTAGGCCACCAGACGTTCTGTGGCCTAGAAATTTTTCTAGGCCAGCACTTCTCTACAGATTCTTACCGATGAAGGAATGGAATCTCTGACCAGATACTGTAGAATCGGAAACAGATCCTGTTTGCACACAAATCGCTGACCGCTAGAGCTTTTGTAGACGAGGGGCGTGGTCTGGAAGAGAAAAAAAGTTAGGCCACCAAGAAATTTTTCTCGGCCACGGGGCTTCTTACATAATATGGAGTGGTGAATTTGAGTGGAAAATACTTTCGAGCACATGGAAAATCTTGAAATTCGGTGAGATTCTCCAAAAATTGATGGGTGGAGCCGTAGATTCCTGAAAATTGGCATATTATCAGTGGAGCGAGATTTCTAGACTAATTTTTCGTGGGAAATTTGAATTTCTGGTTAGTTTTTCACTTACTACATTGTTTGGAGCAGCCCAGAAGCTCTTTTAACAGGCCATCTTGATTTTTCAGCGTCACATTTTCTATCGATCCATTTTGTAGCGATTGCTCTTGCTCCTGAACCTTTTCATTGAATTTGTCCAAATCGAAATATTCGGAAACCTGAAAATTCAAAAAAGTGAAGCTCGTTATCCTTTTAAAAATCGATTTTTACCATATAAACCGATGCGATTCGTATCAAGTCGCCCTGCTCGAAAATTCCACCATTTTCAGCGATTACGTAGTCCTTTTCATTTTCTGTCATGTCGCTGAAATTTTTTTCAATGATTTTTGACAAAAAAAAACGGAGAAAATCCGAGAAAATTAGGTGAAAATCGGCGATTTTGGAGAATTTGAAATTTGAAAATTTGGAGGAGAGCGCTGCGGTGTAGTCCTCTCGGACTAGTGAAGAAACAAAGGGAAGCATGCGCCTTTGAATTTCTACAGTAATTTTCTTGCTCACTCTAAATTTTCAGGCTGTTTTCAGACAGCAAAGTCGATAGATATCGTCTCAAAAAAGCAAAAAATATGTCGAGATTTTTGGAAAGTTGCAAATGCATTGAAGCTCCGATGTGTCTTCATAAAGAAGGCTTCTTTTATCTTCTCAATGAAACTGTTCGAGAGGTTTATCGATTTTTCATTGACTTTTCATTGATTCCTGAACTAATTTCAGTTCCACCCAAATCTCAAAAACGTTCATTGTCCCAAAGAAGTGCTAAAGAAAGAAAAAGCAGAATCACTCCATGTATCGATTGATAAATCAAATCACAGACTTCGAATGTACGGATCACTTGAGGAGCTTTCGGAGAATATTACAATTTATAAGAATTTCCCAGGAAATTCCCAGTATTTTGGCCTTTCCGGTGAACCATATCAAGTAAAACACACTCACTTTCCAACAACAAGTTTTGACAATTTTTCAGACGAATCCAATCATCTATAAAAGCTTGAAAAACGATGAGAAATACATTGTCAAGCCGGATCTCTTTGTGATTTTTCAAAACATGATTACTCTCCTTCCCGGAGGAAATTTAATGGAAATTATTCTCCGGGTGGTTCCATTTCTGAAACGCAGACATGCAAGTGTCCAAAAAACCACGGAATTTGTGAAATTCGACGAGAAGCGTATCGAAGAAATTTATAAAAAGATGGATGAAAAGTTCAACAAAATAGTCTTGGTAATTAAAGGAGGACTCCGATCAAAAATTTTTATTGCCTTAAAATGTTTCAAAAAAATATGTATTTTCCTCAATATTATTGCGAAAAATTTTTTTAATAATCCTTAATCCCCGATAAACG